AATATCCGACACATAATAAGTTAAAATTAATAATATAATTATAGAAGCAGAATTAAAACAGATTATAAAGTATTACTATACATATTATTACCTGTGTTATTGCATAGATATTATGCACGGTATGTTTAAGAAGAAAGTTTGAGTAGGTTTTGCACAGTATGTCGAGTGCAAGCAAACGTTCCGAATTATTCAAGGAATCTCACTACATGAAACCGCAGATCTGTTACCACCCTCCTGCAATGTAGAGGCTGGAACGGTCCGCGTCTCCTTTTGTGCAGTTATGTAGGCGGAGATCCTCCGTTTCTATGTGAACCCGGCAGTTAACTGCCATTCATTTGCAGCCTGCCATGCGTCAATCATGCGGTGATCAGACTTCAATACTTCGCACTACCTGGCACTATCGGTTGAACGTGCGTCGCAGCACATCGCTGCTGCATATATGCGAGAACATGTGCGTCGAGTTACTACCCGACGATGATGGTATCAGAAATACCCTGGTGAAAATAAAAATTGGAACGTAAGTCGAACGTAAGGGGAGAGTGACCGAAGCGTAAACGAAACTTCTAGGAGGCGAAAATTGGAACAGCGGAATGTAAAGGAAGCGTTAACGCTTCTTTTACACTTCGCTGTTCCAATTTTCGCCTCCTAGAAGTTTCGTTTACGCTTCGGTCACTCTCCCCTTCGTTCGACTTACGTTCCAATTTTTATTTTCACCAGGGTATATAGATCATGCGTCTGACATTTCATGTGCTTGTCAGTCTTCAGGTTCCATTTCGCCGTAGTGATGATCTGGTTTCTAAGCGATTATATATCAGCTATCATGTATATGATTCATGCATGTACGTGCTTAAAAATATTTTGTACGATTTTAATGCACATTTTCACAAGCATTAACGAATCATTAATTATAATATATCTTTAAATTATCAGATTAAATCGTATTCATTGTGCACGCACAGTACCGTAATATTATTTAGAAATTAAGTTTTCATCATCTGGACTCAATTCTACGTTATTGAATTCAAAAAAAAATATCAATCACTGAGAGAGACTTTGTATATGGATTAGTTTTTTATTTGGTTGGAAATATTGCAACTTCACTAGAGGAAAAGTTTTCTCATACTGCTCCACGGATGTTAATCAAATGGAGTAAATTGAACTTTATATTTCATATAAGAACTTTGACAAAAAAAGCTACGTTGCCAGTTCTGTATATTTTGAATATACGCATTCAATCAGGCTAAAGCCGGACAAAGGAAGGATGCAGCTTTCATTATAAGAGGAACGCAGCTCTAATTGCGATCGCTGGTTGAATAACGCAGATTGAATACCGCTCTTCCGCGGACAAATATCTTATAAATATATGAAATCTTTATTTTAAATCAGCTAATATACGCTACGTTTTAACGTAGAATCTAAAAATGAAGAATGTTCCTCTTTTATAGGATCAGAACAACCACAGTAACATTATGTGGCAATAATACAACAAAGCATTCCACTCTAAACTTTTGTAATATCAAAGCTTGAATATTAATTTTTTTTACGCGTATATACCGTTAGAAGAACAGCACTGGTCGGTCTTGCGATCCATATTTAATATCCGATGTTGCATACAGCTCGTTTTTTACTCCTTTTGTCAAATACATACTACGTACATATTTTTTAAATAATATTTTATATAATCGAGTTTTTATGCAATATAGTCTGTTGAACAAAATGTTTATTTTATATTGGACATATTAGAATTAAATTTATAGCGTTTATTTTATTTTATTATAATTTTCATTTTACGGGTGAAAAGTGACCTACGATAATATCAAATAAATAATAAAATACGATGCAATACAATAATAATTGTTTTACATATAAAAGAATCTATTACACGCTGACACATACAATACGTGTATAAGTTTTGTTCGTGTATAAATACTGTAAACTCCGTACATATTTTCGATTAGATCTGTAAAGAGTCGAGGTCTCCTTTAAGAAGAAATATCGATTTTCCATTTAATCGCAGCAGAAAATTCTCTATCACTTTCTCTTCCTAACGGCATACCACCGATCATTTCATAATAAATGCATGTATGCAGAATAGAAGCACGATATACCATCGCTTTTACCTACTGCCCCATTTTCGACAGTTTGGCATCGATTTATTTGACCTTACGTGTCATTGTTGATCGCACTTTTACATTAAACAATTCGTATTTATAGTATAAATTAGTATTGCATATTTAAAATAAATTATTTATATCGGTAAAGAATATACTTTTCAAAAATTGCAGTTATTTAAAACAGTTAGAAAAGTAAACCGTCAAAATGAGAATGGCAGATATTTATAAAGATTTATTCCTTTTATATAGATCGAGCTTTGCAGTTAAAGATATCGCGTGACATTAATATCGTCGTTTTATTTTTACGATATTCCAAGATTAACTTAAGAGAAAAATTTCAAAAGTAGTTTAGAATTATCTCCATCCAATCTGGACCACGACGACTGACATTCTCGGTTAGATGAATATACGAACAAAAATGACTGTCCCTTATTCTTTTCAGACGCTAATACATGAGATGGACACGAACGCTGGTAACACTCGTTGGCAGCTTTTCTCTCCGACTGCATATAAGTCCGTCGCTTTCTTATATATACACATGCATATTGCATATCCATATACGCGCACGCGATGTGCAGAAACGACGGACGATTTAGCAGTGACGCTAAAGTAACGCGCGACTGTATTTCCAGGGTATTTCCTTGGTATTTCATATCTATTCCGAGCGGTTGCTCCTCTGTGGCGTCTGCAAACATCCACCAGTGCGGTACACATGTAAATGCGTTTTACAGCGTATGTCCAATTACATCCGTGATAAACGTTACCCTTAACGACTGTAAAGCTGGGCTCTGCCAGCCACACCACCACTCGACACTTATACGCTTGGGAGATTACACCAACCGCGAAATTATTCCCATGGATAATAAATTAAGTACACACGCACTGTATCATTTATTGCACGGACTATTTGGCGCAATTTTATTTGTCTCTTTTTTCGATTTTTTTTGTAATTTGATAATTTGATTTGCAAGAATATCGTTAGACTAGACGTAAAGATGGACGGTAAAGATTTATTATATTGAAGCATAAACAATTGAGAATTGTCCTGCCTGAATTTCAAGCTTATTTCAGTTTTTAGATGCCAAATTAATTTATTTTTATTTCAACTTCAATCTTTTTCAAGATTAAAATTTTATTATTAGGACAATACGTCAAATCTAGCTTTATTAATATAAACAGACAATTTTTATTTGTTTAGATACGTAATGTTTATTGTTATGTGTACACAGAATAACGCGAAACGATGTTCCATAAAAAATTCTATGAAAATTATGATTATTTTGTATACTACACATGTATCACCGCATCTTAAATTCTTTATAAAACCACAGATATTTATGAACCCATTATTCTTGAAGTTTCGCGAAATTTTCTGTATGAATTTCTCTAAGGCAAAGAATTTTCGAACGCAAGAAAGAAAAAATTAAAATGATTACTATTTATTTGGATAAATGTAAGAGTAAAATAATTTCAAAAATTAATCTTGATAAAATAATTCGTGATTATTTAATGACAAACAATAAAGCTAAAGGGGATTGTTAGGAACGCACAAAATGAAATACAAATACATAATTTAATATTTAATTATATGTACCAATCATTAAATTATTAATTTAATTTAATTAAAAGTAAATTATTTTAAATTACTAGTTTAATGATTGGTACATATAATTAAAAATCAATTTGTGTATTTAATTGTTATTTATCGTTTATCGGGCTAACTCTTAATAGTTGCATTTATTATTGAAAAATTAATCTATCTTTTGCCAAATTATTTTCGTATTATTTCTTTAACGTATTTTTTTTAATGATTTGACTATTACAACTTGAGCTATATAGGAAATAGTCGTAATTTTAGTGGGATACAGAAGATTAGGCTGCCACCTTAAATGGTGCTTAGGCAGATCATATATTCATAACCAACACGAGGATATGTTACTTAGTTACTTAACTGCAGAGCCCACCCAATATTCAAGAGTGGCATTTGCACCTGCTTCCACATTTCATATACATATATATCTGATTCTCTGGACTTATTCCAAATTACTTTTTCTCTATACGATATGCAGATAGCATAAATTTTTACACTCGTATAATATTGTTGGAGCGTTATATTATATTAATTATTCATTTATATACATACACACACAATATTCTCACATTAATGTAACAGTTATTAATATTAAAATAAAGACATTATTCTTACAACATTGAATGAAATGTCATATATATATCTATAGATTAAATATTAAAATATATCATATTTCCATTTGCATCAAATATCAGGGGAATACGAATTGCATGTATGTGTGTGTGATGTGTGTGTGTGTGTATTGGGTGATCGCAATTTTAAAATATCAAAAATTCTCTCTCCAAGTCGCGGAGCTCTCTACAGTAAATAATCACGTGCTTCAGATTTTAAATATTATTGTTTAAGTGAAAATGATATACCGATACTAAAAAAAGTCAATATTCGCATTTATCTTTTTTCTATGATTTTCTATTAATTGATTATATTAAGTAATCATGTTATACACATATCGTCAGTGATTGCCATTATTATGCATTTTAATAGTTTATGTTACCCATTATTAAATAACTTAATAAGTAAGTGTAAGCATTTAATTAATAGGTGTTAACAAACATTAAATATTAATATTAGTTATTTATATTATTTGAATTATTGTAATAAAATTTTCCTTCAAAAGATAGAAAAAAAAAACTTAACACGTGTCTCTCGAATTTATGTTAATATCTGTTGTATAGAATGAGTTTATATCTTTGCAGGATGCAGTTCTTCCTCGTAAAACAATTACTTCCTAGTTATCGAGATAATGATATAGTAGTTGAGCAGAGAGAGAGAGTTGATGCAACGTATAGAATAGTATACGTTGAACTGTAAGCAAAGACTGAATATGTTCGCAGTACTAATCAGTGTTGTTGTTAATCATTATTAACGGTACAGGTAATTCAGTTTCATCATTCATTAGTTCGTATTATTGGCTTATGCTTATCATGTGTTATTACTATATTGCCATTTTGCATGTTATCTCTCTGCTTGACCTCTTCTCATTTTAATTTATATTATTATATTGCATTTCATTTTGTAACGCGTTTTACAATATGGCTCTAAATACTAAAGGTATGTAGCATTCTGTTGTGGAATTTATTGGCAGTAACGGCTCAGCGGATTCGATAACATTATCGAGAACGTTTGGTACTGCGTCGATAAAATTTCTCGCGCGTGAACTGAATAATATGAATTGCACGTGCAACATTTATTAAATGGATTAAAGCTCGTTTTAGCAACATTCTAGGCAGTTACGACTTTTCGGTCGGGAAACTAATAACCATCCAACTAATATCCGGTTTGTGCTGCCGGTACTGAGGATGCAGAATCTCTTAACGAGAAATATTCGTTTTAGATTAATCTCCCACGCCGCCACCCATCTTGTGGAAAAATTACGGGCTGCAGAGAATTGCGAGCTTTAAAAGCGCCAGCGAGATAATTCTCTTGGTACTTAAAGAAATGGACTAACAATTATCTTCGCCGACTCCTAATTATCTTGCGACAGCGTTTAGCTGTTATGGCAAATAATTTTTCAAAAGTCCTTCTTTGCAGTATTATTGAATATGACATTGCAGTAATGGTAGTATAATTATTTGAGAGTTTAACTTTGGATATAGATATTCTTAGCTTTTTTAACTAAAAAACTTAGAGTTTTAAAAAATAAAATAATTAATAACTAAAAATAGAAGTTAAATTTGCAACGTAAATTTCTTGTTGAACTTGCTGTTTAAAATCAATAAAATGTAAGGAAAATTTCTGTGGAATGTACTAACCACGTCTATCGACACGCGTTACCTTCTCGTTGCGGTCAAAGCTGCGGTCAAAGTTACGTTATCTATGGCCTGATTTGCGGCGAAACAAAGTGCAGCGGTATCAGTCGTGCTTTCACGAGTTTTGTTCTCTACGATATCGGGACGACCGGAGCATCGTGTGTAAAGTTTATAAATGATAGCACGAGAAATGCCAAAGCCGATTAGAGCATTTGGCTTCTACACTGTAACTTCTCGAATAACACTAATGCAACAGATATATATTACTATTCTTGTTCCTGCATTTTCTTAACATAAATGTGTACAATACGACATTACATATATCTTCTATCTTTTTATAATTAATATACCTTTTATTACATTTTATTTATACATTATAATATAATATAAAAATTGTTAATTTATTATTCTGTACTGTTATTATACATATAAGCGAAAAATACTAATATAGCTAATTTAAATATATTTTGTTTTTAGAAATAGTAGTAGTTCTTAAATTAATTATATATGCTTTAATTTTAATACGCAGTACTAATTTCATAATATTTATCACTTGTAATATTCCTGGAAAATAACATTAATCGTAGTCACTTCTGATATCAAACGTTAAGAGGAAAATCTCACTTCTCACATTTCATATTAACTGAATAGCATATAAGTATGTAGATATATTGTAAAGGTAACTCGCGTATGCAGAGCGACGGTGGGTTTAGAATTCTCCAAGCTACAATAGAATATCAGGAGTTTGGTATTCACATACGAAGAGCTTGTCTCGTAGTTTGGTGTTGGAATCCAAAGCTATGTTATCTTAAGACGTAGCAAGATCTGATCAAATTTGATTAAATTTACATGTGTTTAAAACTGATCTCGGATTTGAGGTTACACGTTACGCTTTATACTATAGATAATGTATAAAATATCACAAACAATGTACATACGTAGACAACGTATGTAATATTAAGATTTCAAAATACGGAAGAAACGGCCAATAATTCGAGCACGTAAAGATGTTAAAAATTGATAATTTATTACATATAGTAAGCTCCACGCGGTACGTTTCGGCCTCACTTGGCCTGTCTCAACATAAAATTACATCAATAAAAATTTTAAGTACGCTGGGTAAAAAAACGGACATAAGTATAGTTCTTAAAAAGACATTCGTGTCTGCGATATTGAACAAGTAACATCATACTTTGCCTAACGCTATCTGATGCAGTTTTTAGAATAACAAATTTTTTAAATATACGGACTCTCGTTTTTAATATTTTGACTACACTCCTTTCTCGCGTGATGAACGAAGTGACATTTCCAATTTATGGACTTAGAGAGATTTCGTCTTTCTATCATGTATACACATTCGATTTACAAGATTTGCATCTTTTTAAGAACTATACTTATGTCCGTTCTTTTTATCCAACGTACTTAAAATTTTCATTAATGTAATTTTGCGGTTGAGAAAGGCCAAGTGAGGCCAAAACGTACCGTTGCGCTTACTATATTATTTTACCCGCTCCAATATTCGGTCTTCAACGAGTCGAGGCGAGCTACCGATTGCGAGAAGCTGCGAAGCGCGTTTCCCTGACAACGAGCCGGCCGATGTCCAAGTTCCAACGGACACCATTAGATTTTGGAGATGAGCTGTCAATGCGAACGGACGTGCTTTAATCCACTCCGGGTTTTCTGTGTTACGTTCTCGTGTATTACGAGTGTGAATAAAGAGTTTCCTTTTTCTCTAGAGTCTCTTTATTTCCCGCGAAAGCGTCGGAACGCGAGCGCGAATGCGAACGCGAGAACGATCCCCGGGCGTAACAGTATGTAATAAATTATGAATTTTTAACACCTTTACGTGCTCGAATTATTCCTTCCGTCTTTCGTTTATTAACTCCGAGCGGAATCTAAACATAATTAAGATTTCAATGCTTCAGTTACATAAATCATTTCATATGTTATGCAAAGCATATAAAAATCATCAGGAAAAATTTCATGGTATTTTTTATCTTATCTTTATTCCTATGCGCCGGTTGTAATTAGCAATAACACAGTTTAATGAAAAAAATTTATTTTGTTACTATGTTGTATGTTACTCTTTCAGCTTTTTAGCTAAAACTTTGTCTTCTATAGTTTAACAATGCAGAAATGTCACTCTTTGTTGCGTACTGAAAATATAATAGGTACATACTACATATATATGTATATATACTTATTGTAGCATGTATATATACTTATTGTAGCAGGAGCGGTGAAGCGTGATATTCTAGAAGAGTTATGTCATAATATTGAATTTTATAGAGTTGATCTTCAAAGTAGAAAACTACGTTTTATATAAATAGCCTGCAAACCATGTGCACATATTTCTTCGTTACATAAACGTATCTAGGATACTGTAAGAAGCATTATTAAATTGCAAGAAACTGTATTCTTAATATTTAATTGATTCTATTGTTATATTTTATTAATATATGTACAGGGTGTCCCCGTATAAGTGGCCACACATTTTTATTTCGCAAACTAATAAAGATAGACCTATAAATAAATATAATATCAAATTAAACGGTTCTGACTAAACTTTATTGTAAGCACAGTGATCACTTAGAAATATTATCTATGTTAGAGAGCGAAAAGACATGATTAATTTTTGCACGGTAAGGT